GGTTTGGGGCGTCTGCTGCTTTTGGGAAATTGCAGGGGTTGCCAGGYAGGGCGGCGGGCCCGACCCGGTGCTCCTTGGGGTGCTGCAGCGGTGGCTGCTTCAACACAGTCCCAGCAGCCGGCAGCGGTAGGACACGTGGATGAGAACTGCTCTTGTACCAGAAATAAGACCCAAATTAGACTGGCAGATAACGACCCGAGTTCTCCTCTCACTTACCAATTAAGCACATCACAAAGATATGCAGCTATTTAGCTGTGAACACTGCAGGCCTATGGTAGTTGAATGCTCGGTGTCTCTCTCGCCTTTTGCTGTTTTCAATAAAGGGGGATTACAGATGAGAATCTTCTCTTCGTAATTCTGTACCAAGTTTCYTTTCAGGCTGGCGGGTAAAGATAGTTCTGTGGTGTCTGTGTCAGTTTGTGGATCTACATTTCAAAAGCACTTAAATGTCTTTAAGAAAAATCCTAATGCAATGAGTAGGACTTGTTTGACCAGAATGCATTAAATGCATTTGCAAATTCTATTTTTACGTTTCTGCTTTGAGACAATGAGAGAAAAGGAGGTGTACATGCTTCCAGCAGGCCCCCCGAGTTCAATAAAGACAGGCTTTAAAYGCCTGGGGTGGAATTTCCCTCCCTGCCTCCGGTCCTGTGAAGCAGATGAGATGAGGAAGAGCTTTTTAAACACAAGGCAAACTGAAACTCTGTCCCTTAGTCACTTAAACCCTGAATGATTATTGTCACTTTCTACAGATGAATCTGATTTGGRTGATTAGCTGTTTGCTTGCTCATGTAGTTAAAACCCAGAAAATTCCTTTACTGGAGTTCTAACGGGCAAATGCCTAATGATGACCTATCCCAAAGCAAGTTTTAGTAGAATTCTGCTTTATAAAAACAATCTGTAGTAATAATACTATGAAAAACTAAAAGCAGTGATTATGAGGAAACATTTAGGAGCTGTTGGGAGACAGATGTTTGGTGCTATGATCCGCTGTTCTGGATAAGCACAAAAGTTGAGATCCATTTGGCTTTCTTTGATCTAGGCATTTGACATGGGCGGATTCGGTGCTCCCGCAATTCCTCATTCCCCTCAGGATAACTTGTGGTTTTCGTCTGTTGGGCCATCGCTTCCTGTACAAAATTTCTAGCAGTTCTAACTTGAATTCTAGCACGCTCTGTTTACCTTTCTTCTGTCTCTTTGCTGAGAAGTGCTACTTCTGGTAAGAAGTCTGGTAAGAAGTCTGGTAAGAAGTCTGGTAAGAAGTCTGGTAAGAACTACTCTTCTGGTAAGAGTCTGGTAAGAACTGCAAAGACAAAGGAGTATCCTAATGTTTTCTATCTCTTAGATCACCCTCAATATAAAGATTGCACATATTGGAGAGAACAGTGTGTGGCATTTATGTAGAGCAGTTTTAAACATGCATTTAGAAGTTTGCAAGTAGTTTACAAAGATCAACTGATCTTTATCATTTTATCATTTGGGTGGAATTTATCTGATCTTTTTCATTTTATCATCTTAAAATTTTATCATTTGGGGGAAGACAAAATGGGGGGAAAGGAAGGCAGTAATTTAAAGGCAAGTGATAGAGCAGGGCCTAGAGCTTATCTCCAGTTCTTGTTTTTAGTGAATTTTAAGCCAGGAAATCTTAGGGACTATACCACTCTGCCCACAATTATTCTTAATTCACTCTGGTGGTTTCCCAGTAGTTTGACTCATCTCGTTTGAGCCCAGTTCTTATCAGTGCGAGCTCAGGGTCAGCTTCTCCTTAGCGGGTGCCCTTTGCCTCCCTTTGCTTTGTGCCCAAGGCAGGCCCAGCCTGTGGTTGAGCCTGGGAGGTTTGGGGTTTGTCCCCCCATTAGCCTGCAATGATGCTCAGCTCCTCCTGCAGCACACCTGASGCTCAGGAAAAGCTTCTCATAAGGAAGATGTGTGCAAAAGGCTTGTGAATTRACTTGTGATTAGTGAATAATTAAATAAAGCAATCAAAAGAAGACATTGCCAATTATAGCTGCTTATGTAGCACTCTTCCAGCAAAGCACAGAGCTGAAYTCATCTAATACAGCTCTAGATTTACCGTATCTTAATTTGATTTACCTTTGACATAACATTTAAAAAGGAGCAACGTCTCTAATCTTGTGCTCCTCAATAAGGCTTCATTAAAAACTTACTGCCAGATCTGATCCATGGTTAGCATACAGCCCCTTATCTCTAGGTATCTGCTCGAATGCCTTTGAGAACATGCTTAATTTAATCTGAACAAAGACACTGCCATCAAAAGCCTCCAGTTTGATTTTCCAATCTAAAATATCTTTGTTATTAAATTTGGTTCAAGCCATGTGCATACAATRGATACTGTAAATTATTTTGAAGCACTCTCAAGCAAAATACTACTGCTTGTTAGACGTTATTTATGGGGCATAAAAAGAGATGTCACTCTACCTTGGCGTTTATTAGCTGTCGCACAAAAATGAAGTATTAGTCTAAATGTAGTCAGTTGTGAAAAGCAGCAAGCGCTAATGCAAATATCTATATATTTAAATATTTCATCATCTTACAACTTATCAAGTGAGAGAGTTGCCTCTAAAAAACCTATATATTGTCTAACTGCCTATTTTCTGCTGCTTGAGAACAGCTTTTCTTTTGAGAGTGCAGCTTCTAGCAGAGCTTAGCTTGCCTACTCTTCCAAAACGAAAACTGAGTAGATAAATTGGTGYCTGTAAACACACAAGGGCAAGCAACTACTTGAGGCAAAGCTTAATGCTGGCACAGAGTCTGACGATTAATAAGTTTAGGCTGAAATTAATAAGAATGTTCCTAACCATCAGAGGAAACCTGGTCTGCAAAACTTTCTAATGTGAGTTGTAGGGACAAAAAAAAATGCAGTGACTTTTATGATGGAATTGAGCAAATTATCAACTGTGGCAGCTGCAGTGGTGTCAGGCGGGAATCCTTGTCCCAGCAGGTCTCTCCTGCCCTATGGATGTGGATGAAACAAGCAGGAGCGAGCGGGGTGTTGCCAGAGCACTGGGTCAGTTCTGCAGTTTGCCAGTTACTTTCAGCAAGTTATGGGGTCAAAAAGAACAAAAAGAGAAGGCTCAAGAGCGAAGAAGGGAGGTGAGGCAAGGCTCAACTGTCAATAGTCGTGGAGAAAATTGTGACACCACTGTGGGGGCTTCCTGTTTTAGCTGCTTTCTGTAACTGCTCCACCCGTTTGGGCCTTGGTTGGTCCCAGCGCGGCTTTTTGCTCCGAACCAAGGGGACGAAGTAATCGTTATCTTATCTTACATTATCTTCGTAATTCCGAGGAATAACCCAAACATTAAGATGATTACTAGGCATAAGTTGACCTGGGTGCACCGCAGCGGAGTCGGGAATTAAACCGTATCTCCTCAGTGATCCATTGCAAAATAAGTGTGGTACAATGAGCGCCGTTGTTGGAGGCTGTGGGATACTTATTTAATCACAAGATTAAAGAGAGAGGCTTCTCCAGCTGTTTCTAATACTATTCCCAACCTATGCTTTTGAGCATTAAGTTGCCATTTTAAGTCATTCTCCCAAGTATTTTAAAAAGTCTGTATTTAAACTGAAATTTGTTTGGTGGAGGGACTGTAAGATATATTGAAAAGAGATATGTAAAGATAGCAGATATCAGGGAAGTAAAAAGTCAGATTTAAAAAAAAAAAAAAAGATGTTTCCAGGGACTTTTGTCGATGAAGTACGCCCTCAGAAATTTCACTTTTTTTCTTAAAAAACACCTATTTCCCCTCCCCTCCAATTCTCTGTTCCAGAGAGGCAAGAAGGTTGTGTTAGATCTTACGTGTTATGCACGAGTGTAACCATTATTTTCTTTGTCACAAATCTAAACTTAAAAAAGACTCAGGTGGTGTCAGAAAAGCCACAAGGAGGATTTACAAAGCTAAATTAATCTCTGGTGTCTTCACACTTCAGAAATGTCACGTGGGGACAAATTCAGCTTTGCAGACGACTTCTTGTGAATAGCATTCCCGGCATTGCCTATCAGATACGGGTTTGGTTGCAATGTTTGCTGTCAAAATACCTACACACGGGCTTGCATCAAGGAGGAATAACTTCTGCTTGACCTTTCTCCAGCTCTGCTGTGCTGAGATCACACAGCAGGAAAACTGAAACTCCRGGGGAATGACTTGCAGCTCGTGTATCCCCAGGCTTGGCTACAGTACAAGCGCTATCCTTGGAAGGAGCTGCCCTTGGAAATCCACCTTTTCTTCACAGCTTCTGACTTTTCTGCGTGGCATGGACGCCTTGCTTGGCCTTAATGTTGTGACAGTCATTGGGGAAAGCTCCCCACTGCAGGCAAGCATTGACCCGAACACAAAGAGCAAACACAGCGAGGGGGCAGCAAACAATAGAGRTGTTTTTGATTGTGCTACAACCACTCTGTGTTTCAGGCACTCAAAGAACGTTTTCCTATGGGTGCAGCCCCCCAGCCCCATCACAGCACGAAGGCAGTGCTTCTGCCTCGAGGCCGCTGTGAGGGGGAGGCGGGTGGACACGCGTGGGGGAGGACCAGGCGCTCGTTCTCCGTTAGGGAACAGMGTAGCCCTGTTGCCCAAACCGCCTGCTGCGGCCACCTCAGCGCCCGCCCGCCCCTCAGGGCCGCCCCGCCCCGAGCAACTGCCGAGGCGGGAGGAGCGCCCTCTGCCATTGGCTGCCGACTGGCGGAGMGACCTCTGCCATTGGCTGGAGACGGGGGGAGGCGGGGCCAGAGCCGCGTCGCCTCGCGCCGCGTCCGTTAGGAGGCGCCAGGGGCGAGGCGCGCGCGATGCCGCCGCGCGTCACGTGAGGCGGCGGGGCGGGAAGGG